TATGGGGTCGAGGTGGGCCAGAAAAATAAAAAACAATCCCAACAAAGTAGCATCTGTTACAAGAGAAAGAGCAAGGAGGGAGTTGCTTGCAGAACCTAGAGTGAGGAAAGCTTAAGAAGACGTGATTAGCACCTAATATGTGCTTAGTAGCTGCACGTTGACTAAACTAAAGTTTGAGCTGAGTCTTGAAATGAGGGGAAGCTTAGCAGGCAGAATAAGAGGAGTAGGGAATGAGCAAGATCACACATATCAGAAGAGTGGCTTTTGAGATTATTTTATCAGCAGTCAACTGGATGGGTTGAAAGGGAGAGATTATAGGCAAGGGGGCCAAGTAAAAACCTGGAGCAGTGATCCTGCTGAAGATTGAAGAGGCCTTCATGTGCACTCAGCAGTTATTGGGACTGTGCTTGGTTTGCCTAACCTTAACTTGCACTTGGTGGTACAGTGTACAGCTTGGAATTATTATTTGCATCTCCCCATGAATGAATGCCTGTTCTCCCTCACTAGGGTGGACACCGTGTCATTGACTGAAATCCTGACAGCATTTAATTCTGTGCTCTGTACCCCATACACCCCCATCAAAAGTTGGGTTGACAATTGAATTCCTTGAGTTAGGGTGGGAGCGGGAGAGCTGGAACAAGGAAAGAGGGAGAAGAAGGGAATCAGGGCTGGCAATGAGGTTCAAAAAGGATTTCATGTTATCTTAAATTATTTTCACAAGTGTAATGATGTTTTTATGTGTTCCTGACTTAATTAAATGGTTTAAGGTAAAAAAAATCATTAAGAATATGCAGTGTTGCTTTTCACTGCTTTTCTATTTTTCTTTTCCTTTTTTTTTCTTTGTTTTTTTGACATGGGGTTTTACTCTGTTGCAGGCTGGAGCACAGTAACACAGTCATGCTCACTGCAGCCTTGACCTTTCCAGTTTAAGGGATCTTCCCACCTGAGCCTCCTAAGTAGCTGGGACCACAGGTGTGGGCCACCATGTCTGCCTGATTTTTTTTTTATACAGATGAGGGTCTCACTATGTTGCCCAGACTGGTCTCAAACACCTGGCCTTAAGCAATCCCCCTGCCTCAGCTTCCCAAAGTGTTGAGATTACAGGCATGAACCACTGTGCCATGCCCAATACTGCTTTTAATAGTGAAAAGTTTGAAGTACCTAAATATCCAGCAATAGAAATATTACCCAATAATCATGATACAATTTCAATGGCAGAATTTAACAAAAATAATGTTGTTGAGATATGTTCACAGATATAAAGAAGTTAATAATTTATAGTTCCACTTAAAAGGAAGTAGATATTAATTATTATATTCTGAATTATCACATTTTTGTTAACAAATATATGCACAAAAAGGTTTGAGATACTTTTATATAAGAAGTTTACATTGTTTCTACATCAGCAGAATTCTGTTGTGCTTTCTTTTACCTCTGTTTTCTAATTCTTAAATAAAAAATAAATAATAAGAAAACCCCAATTTTTAAAAATGTAAATGAAATGAGAAACCAAACTAGAACAAAGAGAACAAGGAAGCTAAGAGGAAAAAATGTGCCATGGTGCCATGTGGATGGGACAATCAGGAAAGTAGAGAAAAGATGTTCTTGGGATTTTTTTTTTGAAAGAGATTTTCTTATTTTCCATAAAGTTAAGGGGAAAAATATTTTTGTTCTCAGAGTTTTTCAGTATGCTTTCCAAGCCATCAAATTCCTAAATATAACCAAAGTTGAAGATTTTACAAGGAAGCCAATATAAACATAGTAGATGTTTATATTTCAACATTAACAACGTGACATTGGAGCTGCAAAAGATCTTCCCAATTGGCCATATTTTATTTCTTTAAAAGTTTCCATTTTCTGTCCCCTTTTAAAATACATCCAGTCCCCCGCACCCCCTTGCACCCCTTTGTGGCTTTAAAATTTCAAGAAAAGGCAGAACCAGATTAACATAGTAACATTGGAGACAGAGCATGTGGAAGAAAGGAGCAAGAGGGAAGTGGTAGAATGTTAAGCATTTGGGGAGGAAGAGAAAGAGAAGGATTTTTTTTGCAGAGCCTTGCCTCAAAGAGGTACTACTCAGACTTAGATCACGTATGCTCTTGTGAACATGCAGATTCTGATTCTGCAGGTCTGGGTGGGACTCTCCGGTGACACCCACGCTTACTGGTCTATTGACAACTTTGAGCAGCAAGGCCTTAGACTCTGGGAATTTGCTCTTCCACCCTGATCACATTTCATATTGGCAGCATTTGGCTATGATAACCTCTTTCTTTCTAACCTAATAGGATTTCATTTTGTTTTTTTGTTTGTTGTTGTCATTTTGGTCAAAATACCAAATAGTGGAAACTTTTCAGAAAGTCATTCAACCATGAGCAAGCTACAGTTCCAGGCATCCTTCATGGAAAAGAGTAAAATGGGAACTACAATATGGAATGGGTAACAGTCCCTGATATGCAAATGTGATTTGTTATAAAGGGTGTGGTGTTGTGGGAAAAGCCCTGGACTGGTTGTCAACAAAACTGGTTTCAATCCTTGCGATTACTAACTAGCTGTATGTGCTTGTGCCAGTCATTTTCCTCTGGTTCTCTGTTTCTTTTCCTGTTAAACAAAATCATTGGTCTACATGGCTTCTAAGATCTTTTCAGCTCTGACACTCGAGGAGTCTATAAAGGAGATCCTATATCAACAGGAAGGGAGGGAAGGACATGTGCCACCGCATGTGCAGCTGCCAAGGATCCTGCACATGTGATATTATTGTGGCGGAATTTCCCCCTTGTCTGCCCAGATGCAAAAATGTTACTGGAGTGAGAGTCTGGGAAACTTGCCTGGTATGAAATCCTAGGACCCCAACTTCCAGGTTTTGGCAATTTACAGTCTTGGGAATCAGTCCCAGCCCCTATAAAATAAGGCATACCCTGTAAACATGCCCTCCAACAGCCTCCAATGTAGCTCTGGCAGCTTTCAGATTCTAAGGTCCACAATCCTCCATTCTAAGGCCACCCTCAAGTTTTACCTCATTCCCTTACACTTGTGGAATTCTGCAGTCTCCTGAGCTTAAGGCCCAGCCAAAAAGCCTGAGTGCCCTCCTACATGTGAACAAATCCAATTCTTGAAGCAACCCCAGCCCTTCCCAACAGCACCCCTCTGGACCCTGAGTCTCTCAGATACCTAAAACTCAGTTCAGCCCTGTGGCAGTCAAACTCTGGGGACTCCGGCTGGCTGGAAGGTGACACTTCTTTCTCTGGGTTTAAGAGAGTCCCATCTACAGAATGAGGATCAGCCCCTAAATTGATAAGCACGGGGTGGTAAAGCGATCTGCAAGAGTGGGATTACCCAGACTGTGAGGTCAGGTCCTGCAGCTCCACCTCGTACCTCTATAGACACACACTCCTTGGCTTTTAAATTATGAAACAGACCTGTTGCTATTCTAAGGAAGTCTCACAAGTCACCTTATAAACATGCCAGCTTCAGGCAGCTTCCTGTGGTTTGCCAAAGGCCAGCTGGGAAGGCAGCCAGACTCCCGCCACGGTCCTGGAACCCCCTTCTCCAGCAGACACTCATTCAGGGCATGACCTCCTGAGGTGCCCAGTTGGGATGCAGGGAACTTAGTGGCTGCGAGAGTTGTTATTTTTCCCTTCAGCCCCAGCCTGGGTTGGGCTGAATGATGTGGCTGGCTGGTACAAAGGCTGCTTTTTATAATGTTCTTCTTTGGTATTTTTGGTGTCTGGAGAGGGCTTCCTTTCCTCCCACAGTTAATTAGCAGCATCAGAGCATTTCCCTTTCTCCAGCAGAAGTCTGTCCCCACCCCTGAGGCCAGGCAGAGTGGGTGGCAGGTGTGGCTAAACGCCCCCTGAGGTTAACCTCAAACTTAAGCTTAGAGCCCTACTTGGTTAGAAGTAATGTGAAATGCAGCGCTAGCTTCCATTCTGGGCAGAGTCGGCAAGTGGGCACACATCCCTGGCAAACTAGCATCCCAATCAGGTGAGGGGACAGAGAAGCGGGTGGGTAACCAATGTGTGTTTGACACATTTGTGAATTGTTTCTACAACAAAGACTTTTTTAAAACAACAAAGTGAAGCTTTATATATTTGAATGAGAAGCACACAGAAGGACCTATTGTCTGGAGGAAAAATTGCATGAGTAATTGTGCATGACTTCAGACTTCCCAGTTGAAATGTTAGGCGTGTTAAGGATGATTGAAGGCATTCCAGTGTTTTCAATGTAGAGAAGAGGGAGGAAGGTGCTCCTGGGACTAGGGAAGGCAGGTTGTGTAGCAGGACAAAGGAGGTAGGAACCTGAGGAACACTACTGCCCACTTTGCCTCTCTGGTGTCCATTTTTCCTCTATTTAATTGAAGTGCCACCTCCTATAGGAAGCCTTCCTGAACCTATATCCTTCCTCCACCTGTCACTTTAGGTGTTCCTCTTGATACATATCTCCTATCTTTTCATTATTTACTCAACTATGATATTATGGATGGGCCATAGAAAAGTGAGGATGGACTCCAGGACCTGATTCTGCCACTTCCTATATGTCTTACCTTGGGCAAGTTACCTAGCCTTTCTGTGCCTCAATTTTCTTGCCTATAAAAGGTGAATAATACTTACCTTCTTGGGTTGTTGAGAGGATTAGATGTGTTAAAACATAAAGAACTAAGAATAATGCCTGACATACAGTATGCATTCTCAATGTTAGCAATTATTTCTTTTTATTATTAGCAATTATTAAGAGCATCCGCTCTTGTTTGCACAGGACCTAAAATATCACTGGGCAGGGGTGTTCAACCCTCACATGCACCATAATTGCTTGAGGAGCTTTAGAAATGTATAGGCCTGGCCTAGGCTTCATTAATCTGTGGGTGAAACCTGGTAATGGTATTTTAGAAGTGTTTCCTTCGTGGTTTTATTATGTAGCCAGGTTAAAAACCAGTATCATAAATGTCAATAAATGAGTGAATGAATTAATGAAGCAAATGGGATCAGAAAGAATAAAACCTATGCTTGCTTCAGTAGCACATATACTAAAAATTGGAATGACACAGAGAAGGTTAGCATGGCCCCTGCACAAGAATGACATGCAAATTCATGTGTATATTAAAAAATATACACAGAGAAAGAACAAACCCAGGGTACCCCATCTTTAGGAATGTTAAGGCATGATGATTCTATCTCCTTCAGAAAGTAGCTCTTCCTGAAACAGGCTTCAAGAGAAAAATATGACAGAGGATGTTATGGAATACATGAAAATCATAATTCTAGTCATCTCAACATATGAAAGTATTGAAGAAATAGAAAAACAATTGTCTAGAACTCATATTAGAGATCAACACATATTTCCTCTTGATCTCCCTTCTGTCTATGCAGATTTATTTCCTGCAGTTGCTGTAACAACTCTAGCTAGAAGCTGAACTTTGACAATTCCTCTAGTTGTTTTTTGTTGTTGTTGTTGTTTTGACAAAGTCTCACTCTGTCTCCCAGGCTGGAGTGCAGTGGTTTGATCTCGGCTCACTGCCACCTCTGCTGCTCTGGTTCATGCGATTCTCCTGCCTCAGCCTCCCAAGTAGCTGGGATTACAGACTCCTGCCACCGTGCCTGGCTAATTTTTGTATTTTTAATAGAGTCAGGGTTTCACCATCTTGGCCAGGCTAGTCTTGAACTCGTGATCTCGTGATCCACCCGCCTCAGCCTCTCGAAGTGCTGGAATTACAGGTGTAAGCCACCATGCCCAGCCTTTCCTCTAGTTTTAATTTCTATTTGCAACCCAATCTTTAATTTAGAGGACATAAAAATTTAAAGACCTCAAATAAAGCATTTGCACCACTCTAATGTATAACCATGCATGATGATAGCATAATTAAAATTAACTGCTTTACCTACTTAGTCCACAAAATTTAAACTGATTGCTGCTTGTAGAACATTAAGTCGGGCACCTCAGAATACAAATGAGAACCTAGGCTGGGGTGGTGGCTCACACCTGTAATCCAAGTACTTTGGGAGGGGGAGAAGGGTAGATTACGTGAGCTCAGGAGTTAGAGATCAGCCTGGGCAACACAGAGAAACCCTGTATCTACCAAAAATAAAAAAATTAGTCTGGCATGGTGGCATGTGCCTGCAGTCCCAGTTACTTGGGGGACTAAAGTAAGAGGATCACTTAATTCTGGGAAGTCAAAACTGCAATGAGCCATGATCACACCACTGCACTCCAGCTTGGGTGACAAAGCAAGACCCTGTCTCAAATGAAAAATAAAAATAAAAAAAGAAACTGTAGTCAGGACGCCTACCCTCAAGGAACTTACATATTAATGGGGAAAGTAAAAATAAACATACTGAAATCTAGAGAAAACAAATATAACAGAACCATGTCTAGCCGTGTAAAGCAGGCTTTGGAGTCAGACTTTGGGTCTGTTTATTAGCTGTGTGATCTCAGTTACTTCATTTAACCTTCCTGAGATTCACTTCCTCATTAATCAAATGTAGAATTTGATGCCTACATAATAGGATTATTGTGAGGATTCAAAACCATACTATATGTAAGTGTCTGAACATTTTATTGAATAATAATTTTTTTATTTTTTTGAGACAGAGTTTTACTCTGTCGCCCAGGCTGGAATGCAATGGTGTGATCTTGGCTCACTGCAACCTCCACCTCCTGAGTGGAGCCTCCCAAGTAGCTGGAATGACAGTTGTGCGCCATCAGGCCAGGCTGATTTTTCTGTTTTCAGTAGAGACAGGGTTTCACCATATTGGCCAAGCTGGTCTCAACTCCTGACTTTAAGCAATCAGCCTACCGTGACTTCCCAAAGTGTTGGAATTACAGGTGTGTGAGCCACCGCGCCCTGCCTAACTAAAATTATTTTAATTAACAAAGAAGCTGTATTCCAATAGCATACTCTATTGAAAATTTCTTTTTAAAATTATTTATTTATTTATTTTTATTTCATTTTATTTTATTTTTTTCTGGAGTAGACTGGGAAGTTTTTTTTAAATTTCATTTTAGGTTTTCGGGTACATGTGAAGAACATGCAAGATTGTTGCGTAGGTACACAAATGGCAGTGTGATTTGCTGCCTTCCTCCCCATCACCTATATCTGGCATTTCTCCCCATGCTATCTCTCCCCAACTCCCCACCTCCCACTGTCCCTCCCCTATTTCCCCCTGACAGACCCCAGTGTGTGATGCTTCCCTCCCTGTGTCCATGTGTTCTCATTGTTCAACACCCGCCTATGAGTGGGAACATGCAGTGTTTGATTTTCTGATCTTGTGTCAGTTTGCTGAGACTGATGGTTTCCAGGTTCATCTATGTCTCTACAAAGGACATGAACTCATCATTTTTCATGGCTGCATAGTATTCCATGGTGTATATATGCCACATTTTATTTATTTTATTTTATTTTACTTTATTTTTTCTATTGAAACTTTCATTACCAAAAGGAGAAATAAGGAAAGGGAGAAGAGGAAGGAAATCAAGATGGAAAGCCAAGCACAAACATATACTTGACCTCCCACCATAAATTCCTTAAAAGATAGTGAATTCACTTTTAAAATCAGTAAGTCCCTACTAGCACCAACATAAAAGAAAGGAGATAGAAATTACGATAAAAATTTGGATAGAAAGCAGTCAGGATCAGACTAATGAAGAGTAGCAGAGCAGAGAGTATTAACACGTTTCTAAGCACTCTGATGAAATAATTCTTTCAAACACAGGAGCAGAGAATCTCCAAGCTCAGAGGAAACAAAAAGTATAGGAGGGGCTGTGAAGCAACCATCAGAATTATCAATCTTCAACTGCCCTCTGCACAACAGATTCTTTTCCTTCTTCCTTCACTACAGGGAGTTGCAATTGGTGGTGGTGGTGGTGGTGGTGGTGGCAGTGGTAGTAGTGATGGTGGGTTGACCCAAGATAAAACACACAGCTTCATTCTAAGAAAGTAAATTGCCTATCTGGGGAGGGCACCTGCTAGGGTGTAAGAGATGGAGAAAGGAGAGCAAGACTGGAAGTAACCCCAGCCACCTTCCACGGATGCAGAGCGAGGCTGTCAACTGTAGCTTCATCATGGTAAAGTCCTCCTTATTTTTGGCATTACAGATTAGCAAAGGAAAGAGTGGGGGAAAGGGTCATCTCCAAGCCTTGTTCCCTTTCTGCTTCACACACACAGAGTTCTGACTGACCCATCATTCATCTGAGGAACCTGTAGGGGAAACAGATACCTCTAAACTGAGATAAAAACTTAAACAACATACCCACTAAATAAGCTGTCCTTCAATCATAGATATGGATGGAAAACCAAGGATCCCCAGATGCTTGAGAAAATTCAACAGTCTTAAAAAAAAAAAAAAAAGACTATGGTGAACAAACTGAAAACCAATCTCAGAGGAAAGATAATCAAATAAACAGAAAAGAACATTAACAAATTTTTAAGTACATCTTCCTTAGAAAGATACATGAGTATATTGCAGCAGGTTGCTATGAAAAGGAACATGTAATTGCTTTGACAAAGGAAAAACAACAAAAAAGGGGGAATTTTAAAATATGATAGTAAAAACTAAATAAAAGATGAGTGAATAATAGAATGGATATGACAAAAATTGGAGATATAATCAAGAAGTTAAATCTGAGGAAATCTCTGAATATACAGAAAATAGCATGAATGGAAAATTTGGGAGAACAATTAAAAGACTTATTGTACCTCCCTCCCCAATTCATATTTTGAAGCCCTAACCATGAATATGGCTTTATGTGGCCTGTGAGGAGTTGATACATGTTAAATGAGGTCACCTGGGGGGGGGCAATTTAGTAGGATGACACCCTCATAACAGGAAAAAGAGACACCAGAGTTTTTCTTCTCCAAATGAAGATGTAGCTGGAAGGCAGCAATGTGCAAGCCAGGAAAAGAGTCCTTACCAGAAACTGAATTGGACAGCACCTTGATTTTGGACTTCTCAGCTCCCAGAACCATGAGAAAATAAATTTCTATTGCTTAAATCTCCCAGTTTATGGTGTTTGTTATGGCAGCCCTAGCAAACTAATACAAAGACACAAAGTATTGATGCATGAGGGACTCCATTCATCCAAAAGAAGCGCCAGGAGAGAACTAATTGGTGGGGAAGAGATTCGCAAATAAATAGTAAAAGAAAAATTCCCCACAACTTAAAGAAAGGCTTAAGACAGAAGACCTACCAAGTGTCAGCTAAGATAAACTCTACAAGTTCCTTACTTAGACAAACCCTAAGGGTGTTGCAGAGCCAAAAGGACAAAGAGAAAACCCTAAAAGTATTAAACTATGAGAAAGACAGGTTAGCTAAGAGAAACAGAAATAAGATTGGCTGGGACTTTTGTCACCAAAAATCACCGCGGTTCCCTGCTTCAACAGTGCTTGGCCAAAACCCGGCACTCATCCCCCACCCTGGCTGGCCGCTCACAGCCAGCCCTTGAAAAAAAAAAAAAAGAAAGAAAGGAAAATAAAGAGATTGGCTTTCAGACTTCTGAAAGGTAACAAATGCTGGGCAGCAATGAAGCAATAACTTCAGATTTTAAAACCAGCATTAAAATGAGAAAGTGAAATGAAGACATTTTCTAACCTCCAAGAATTTGGAACATTTACCTCATATGCACTCTTTCTGAAGAATTACCTAAGGATGCACTACTATGAAAGAAAAGCTAAATTCCAGAAAAGGAGATGCTATCTATATAAAAGGAACAGTGACAAGGTGAGAAATTAGCAAACCTACAGTTGTCTAAGTAGTATTTGATACCCAATATTGAAAAAGTAACAGGCTTGCATTAATTCCCCAATAAAGAGAACAGGAAGTTTTAGAAAATAACATTATGGGAAAAAAATATTTAGTTCATAAAAGCAACAGCATCTAAAAATACTTAAATCTAGGAAGAAATATTCTTTATGATTTCACTAAACAACAAAAAATAATGGAAGAAATGTACCATTTCCCGGATGGAGGATCAATAATATAAACATGTCAATTTTCCTCAAATTGATTAATCAGGCTCAGTGTGGTGACTCATGCCTGTAATCTCAGCACTTTGGGAGGCCAAGGCGGGCAGATCAGGAATTTGAGATCAGCCTGGCCAACATGATGAAATCCTGTC